AGAGTAGGAATTGACGATTTAAAAAAAAGCGACACCATGAAAAATAGTGAAATATTAATAAAACCCACCGCTTGAGTAAGCGAAACGCTTGGGAGGGTATTCTGTGAAATGGTTTGTTGTTGCTGCCTGGCCAGCTGATTCGTAGCATTCATATTCGTATGGGGAAGGTGACGAGGCTGAGTTGAGATAGATGAGAGACTGGAAGAAATAGACGAAGTAGGCAACATATTTGAGGAAATCGAAGCAGAGGCTGTGGTTGGTACACTAGTAGGAGATAATAATCCAGTACTGCCGGGAGCGGTAAAAGGGAGGGCTGGAAACTCAACGTAATCGGACAAATGAGGTGGATGAACGGAACCAGAACTGGCATTGTCCATACCTCCAGAGGCAAGCCCTTTCGAAAGGTGATAAACATAGCTACGAGTCTTCGTAACCGGAGGAGAAGCGCTAGAATTCGGGCCCGTGACTTTACGTCCAGATGAGGGTAAAATTGGGGGGAATTCTAAAGGATCGAGGTTAAGACCTCCTCCAGAATTAGGGATAGCAGTTGAGGGGGCTCTAATCGACAAATGAGCAAATTCTGCCTTCTGAATCAGGGCAACGGCTCTGGCTAAGGCTTCAATCGACGCATCGGATTTTCTGTTAGATTGGCCGCTTCCGGTCGCAGAAGAAAGATTAGAGAGGGGTTCGGAAAACCCTCTGTGGGGATCTCCAGTCAAATTGCCAAAACTCGCACTGACGGCTGATAAAAGAGAAGCAGGACCGTTGATTGAAACTGACGAATCCAAGGCACCGGTATCCCGTCCCGAAGGATAGCCGATTCTTGATGAATTGCTGCTGAATACTTCACCATTTCGCCTCTGCTGGGATGAGTTACAACAGGCGGTTCCAAATAATGAGTTGCCAGGACCAATAATATCGGGAAAATTGGATCCACTTCCAACACCGAGCAAGCCCTAAGTATATAAATAACACAATGCGATAAAGCCCATGTTGTCAAGGGAATAAAGAAGACATTGAAGTGAGTTGGGAAATTTGAAAGCTTAATATAAAACCGTATAAGGAAGTAAATACAACTTTATTAATTATACTATTTAAGAAGTAATTATGCTCACTCGTTTTTCGGACGAACTTGCGAAGCTCCCTAAAGTTTTACTTCCATCATGCTGCAATGTTCTTCCCATATTAAATCTAAGCATTCTCAATACAAATAAGGCTCACTGATTTTGTGTACTCCACGGGGTTGTGGGATCAGCAGATGTAAATCGTCTGTTATGAGAGCAAAAATGACCAGCTAATCAGACTTACTGCCCAATGCCTGCCATAAGAGGAATTCATCTGGGCGCTCTAAAAACAGGCTGCTACCAGGTTATTGGATTACTATAGGGATAAGGAAGTAATTACAACACAAATAAGCGCAGGAAAAACATAAACCTACATAGATAGGTATGGTAAAGTATACTAGTATTGACAATTTCGTTTAATGCAAGCCTCAAATAGGAAGCCGCCATGCGAGGACACTGGGAAGAGAATACAACGGCGTAATTGGTTGAAAGGCTTTGTTTTAATATTTTGACATTTTAAAAGGACTGTCTTTGAAGCTTTTGTAGCATATTTATTTATTTAAAATTTAATTAGCTCACTACTACTTAATAAAATGCTTTATATTCAAATAAGTTTATTATATTCTTGGGTATCTATCTATTTTTTCAATTCGCCTCAGCGCTGGCTTAAAATTCAGTTTATTTTTTTAATATCACTCTCATGATTTTCTAATTGTGAATATTTCTCCTGAAGATGACTAGCGTGTGAAAGGGCACACACTGTCGACAATAGGTAGATATTAAAGACTGATGCTCTGATGGCTTCCAATCTTTAAACAATGATCTATTCAATAAACTTATAATATTGCTGTGGTTAGTCATATTTATACTTACATCCTAAGAGCCAAACTTTCACTTAAATATTCGTTAAAACAAACTACCTCATGTAAACCTATAAGATTAAGGGTAATGGGTATATGCAGGAGTGTTTAAGAGGCGGGGAATTGGATAATTGGAAAATGAAATCATTTATTCATCAAAATCATAGGGCTCGAAATGCGTATGATTCGCACAAAAGTTACTAAGGAGTGGTCATACTTAGTATTTGCATGAACAAAATGGTTTGTTTGATCCAGTAAACATTATAATTTATTTAAAATATAGTAAAGCAAATTTTCGAATTCTGACTGTATTTAGTAAGGAGTTATAAGGAATTAGTTAATCTATTGGATAAATATAGATTAGAATAAAGGTATTTATTTATGCTCTGATTTAGTGTCGAGATATATAATATTTTGCAGCAAGGACTTTAAATTTAACAAGAGATCAGTACTCAGAGTTTATCTCCGAATAAATTTAAGCAAGTAGTCAAGAACGAGATCGACAAATTTATTGGAAAACAAAACGTATTTGAATAAAATAGTGACTTTTATGAGCAAACATCAAATTTTGCTACGAGATTGTGTCTAATTCCTGTCCTGGTAACTTCTGGGCGTAATCCATGACACGAAAAATAGAATGTCGAGGAAGTCCTTGAGTTAATTAAAGAAATATATGGGACTGCTGTATTTACAATGGTACTAACAAAAGACAATAAGTCACGCTTTTTGGTTTTTCTTTAGTAAGAAGGTGGACAAATTGAGTAGATATACGTATATAAAGCAATTAATTTATTTTTATTTCCTAAGTATAGGCTTAATTAGGGGTCATAAAATAAATGATATTAGGTTTTTTGATTCTAGTGGACATAACTAACCAGAATCAAGACAATGAG